TTTGCCCACTTATGACCTCGTATTCATGAAACATATGGAGAAGGTTAGCGCATTCAGGTACAGAAGCTCGAAGAAATAAATAAGTATCGTCTGCAAAAAGAAGATGAGAAGTAACAGGAGCTCGCCTGTGAACTCGCAGCCCATGGAGGGACGTATTTGCAATTTCGGACATCAATTTTGCTGAAAAGGCCTCCGTGTAAAGCGCAAACAGCAGTGGGGAGAGAGGATCACCTTGGCGAATACCGCGTTGCGGCTGGAAATACCCGTACTCTACCCCATTCATCAGAACCGAAAATCGAACAGTGGAGATACAAGATCGTATCCACCGAATCCACGTGGGAGAGAAGCCCATGGCTGCCAGAACTTGGAGCAAAAATTGCCACTCCACCCGATCGTAGGCCTTCTCCATGTCCAATTTAAGCGCCATCCATTTCTCCTTACCCTGCACCTTAGTCTTTAGGAACTGCATAATTTCTTGAGCAATCAAAATATTGTCAGTTATTGAACGGCCTTTGATAAAGCCATTCTGATAAGAACTGACAATGTTAGGGAGAACTAAGCTTAAGCGGGCTGCCAAAATTTTGGAAATTATCTTGTACAAAACCTGGCAGAGGCTGATCGGCCGCATTTGCCGCATATTGTCAGCATTAGGAACTTTCGGGATGAGGGCGATCCAAGTATGATTTATACTGTGAAGTAGTCGCCCAGTACTGAAAAAGGACAGAACTGCTGCACATACATCCCTCTCAATCTCTGTCCAGAATCTCTGATAGAAAGCCCCGGTGAAGCCGTCTGATCCTGGCGCCTGAGACTTTCCTATGGCAAATACTGCCTTGCGGACTTCGTCACTTGATACCGGAGCTGTCAGCCGTGAATTCTCCTCATCGCCAACAGTCCGAGGAAATTGAAGCCCCCCTACATATTCTGTTGGATCAGCTCCCGATGACGTGAAGAGAATCTTGTAGTAGTCAACAGCAATCTCCCCTTTCTCGTCCTCCAGATGCCGAGCCACTCCATTCGCGTCTTGCAGGGTCAGAATGGAGTTGAATCTCCTCCTGTGAATTAGAGAAAGGTGGAAGAACCTTGAGTTGGAGTCACCTGTCTTTAGCCAACCATTACGAGATTTCTGCTTCCAAAAAATCTCCTCCTGTCGATACGCATCTCCTAGTTGAGATTCCAGGCCAGAAATGTGCTCCCAATCAACCGCCTCTGCCTCCTTTGCACTCTCAATCTTACCTTTGAGATCATAGATCAGCCTGGCTGAGTTCGATGTGCCTTTCCTGGCCCATTCCACCAACCCATGCCGCACATTCTTTAGCATTGTCTGGACCCGGAATTGCATTGTGCCGGCCACTTCCTGCTGCCACGAAGTGGAAAGAATCCCAGGGACTTCCGGGTTGGAAGCCCAGCGAAGATCGAACCTAAATCTCCTCCTCGGCTGTGTTGGCGGCTTGAGGAAGGTCACCAGAAGGATCCTATGGTCCGAACCAATATCCGAGAGGTGTTTAACCTGCAGGTCAGGCCACAAAGAGAGAACTTGAGAGTTAGCAAGACAACGGTCAAGCCGTTCAGTGATATGACGAGACCCCGACTGTCGGTTCGACCAAGTGAATGGATTCCCTACACATCCCAAGTCCATAAGGTTAGAGAACAGTAAGAACTCCCCCAACTGATCGAAGGCAGCAGGGGTAAGAGCCCGGCCTCCCTGTTTTTCGGCGGAAGATAACAAGCAATTAAAATCCCCTAAAACAAAAGCAGGAAGAGCACACGACGAAACGAAAGATCTGATTTCATTCAATTCAGCTTGCCTAGCATGTACATCGCAACTGAGGTGCACAAAAACAGCTAAGAATCGGCCTAGAGATGGATGCAAACATTCAATAGACACATATGCATATGAAGAGTCTAAAACTGTACAAGAGACAAGATCAGACCAGCCACACGCTAGTCCCCCACCCCTGTTGACTCCATGAAAAACACGAACATGAGAAAAACCTAAGCTACGGATGTGGCCTTCCACGAAATCGTCGTCTCTCCTTGTCTCACTAAGGAAGGTAAGAAAAGGAAGATGACCCCGAATGGCTTCCCGCAAGGATGGAACTGTCAGGAGGCAGCCCAAACCCCGACAGTTCCAAGCCAAAATACTCATTTGACGGACTGGGACCGGTCCGGGTCGGTTGCCTCCACCCTTGAAGAGAATTCAGTGTCCACCCCACCACCTTGATCGGAGAAGCGAGCCCTCTTAGCCGATGGTTCCAGCAGACCTGCATCTCCTATGCCTTTGCCAGGACCTGTCTCAGTCGAGTTGGGGGATCCAGTCTCATTAGCTTCACCTGACTCAATGGAGAGGTGCTTCATCTTGCTATGAACCACTATGGCACCCGAACGGCTCGACAATGGCCCCCAGAGTGAGCCCTCTGCTGCGCCCTGAGTTTGTTTGCGAAACCAAGTGAACTTCCTCTTGCGGTCCAGGTTGCGTTCATCGACTCGGGGCCCTCGGTCAAGACTCACCGTATGCGTTCCATATCGCAGCGGTCCATCTCCAAGTTCCTCCTTCCGAAGGCATCGAACACCTGTATGCCCAATCACTCCACAGATGTAGCAGAACTGGGGTAGCCTCTCGAATTTCACCGCAGCAGTGAATTCACCTTTCTCAGCTTCGTCGTGCATCGCTGGAATCTCATATGGCAGCGGGGCAGAGACATCCACTCGGACCCGAACTCGCACATACAAGCCGCCCGATATCTCCGACTGGTGTATGGTTGCCGGATCAGCAGCACCAAGGGAAGCACCCATCAGAGAACCCAGGCGCTCAGTGCAGCAAGTATAAGGTATGCCCCAAATTTGGACCATCAACGGCATCCGAAGTAGAGAATCAGCCAAGGCCGGTGAAGGCGCCTCCCACGGGACCAGGTGAACCACATACTTGGGTCTGAACCAAGGAGAGTTCCTCTTCACCCTGTTAAGGTCCCTGGACGACGCAAACACCACCTGAATCAGATCCCACTCCAGAGGCACAATGGACATCGCGGCCGAGCAGTTCCACAGTCGCAAGAGATCAGCCTTGAGGGCATGTAGGGCTGGCCGCGGTCCACAGACCCTTCCGATCAGCGTGAGTTCGCCTCTGCTTGCACCCACTTGCACATCGGCGTCGGAGAATCGAACAACCGCCATCGAACTAAAAATTTGGGGGAATCGGGATTTGCTGATGCCAATTGGAAATCTCACTGATAGAAGAAGATCGATGATGGGGATGGTACCCCAGCCCAACCACTGGGTATTTAAAGGCTCCATGGCGGAGCAGGCCACTTCCGGCGCCGCACGATGACGGTGGCCGATATCGGCGAGGCGCACTACGCGCAATAACCGTCCCACTCGCGATGAGAGAGGGGAGAGCGATGGAGATAAGAGATTAATTACATTACTGTTTTGCAAAAGTGTGACAGATGTTTGACAATAGAAAGTGCTAGACAAAAAGTATAATTAACAATGCTTTCCCGTCCTTTGTACTTTAGCTACTTCATTATAATTGAATTATTACAAGTATCTCAGAGGACGAACTAATTAGATTATGGTTTGTTCAGACAAACAACAGAAGAATCAAAGAACATATAAAATACATTCTCGTTGTCTGTTGTCCCTTCATTTCTAGCTATACACTATTCTTGGAATAAAAAAAGGAGGTATGAGTAAATCCAATGCAAGAATGCGTGCAAATAGCTAAAATTTGAGTCTTGTGTGATGGAATGAATTATAGAAAGAGGCCAAACATTGAGACCATCATCACAGATTTAGAGTCATATTATATTCTAGAGCAATTAATAGGGAAATAAGCTAGTTTGTGTCACTTAGTTGTTGCTTAAAAAAATAAATCAGGGTGTTGAGAGGAAAAATATTTATGTACATCAATAGTGAGAGAAACAATTAGTTCATCCATTTTACCTAGAACGAGAAAAGATGAACGCATAGTCCTCAATATTGTTGGTCCTTGTGATATGACTACGGATATTAATTTTAGGGTCATTGCCTTTGACATAATCAAGGCTTCTTCTTAAGGGGCCATATCTTCTGCTTCATTCATAAGAGAGCTCGTCACTTATAAGTTATAAATTTCAAAAACCGTTTGAGATTCGTGGAATTCAATATATTAAGTTAGAAAACACTTTATCTATATTCGATCAAGTACGTGAACACACATGGATATGCAATGAGATGTCAAATAATCAATTTTGCTTCATCGACCAACTTGTTTAACATGTCTGCCTGCTTAGCCGAATTGAAAAATGGGCACAAATGCAGTGAGAATTACAAAATGTAAGTAGCTATGCTATGCCGACGCTACACGTGTATGCTTCTCAGAGTGAATGACTCTCACTGAAATTACAAATTTAGTTGTTCTAATAATGGAGATATAACATTTGTGATGTGCCAATTATAGAAACTCTCACCAAAGTTTTGGGTCGGTTAAAAAATCGTCAGCTAACTTAATTTTTTCGACATGTAATTTTAGTTTAGTTGAAGTAATAGTACTTTGGTCTTCTATTCATCTACATCAAGTTTAGTTGTCCACATTGTCATGTGAGTTAATCAGTTAAATGATCAAAGTAATAGTATAAAATGCTCATAACCACGGTTAATTAAAAGTGACTCAATCTAAAACATCACAAGATGATGATCAAACAATAACTTAGCATATTAACTCAAAATGACACAATAAACCTGAAGACTCCTACTTTTTCCAACAATAATAGGTGAGACAGAAAGTGCTACTTAGGATTTTTTTTTTCTTTTCTTCCGGTAATTAGTTTCTCATTAAGCTCACTTGATCCACTCAACCAAATTGCACAAAAACTCAGATATAGGATTTCAGTAGTGTGCAACATGTGGGTTGCAATGGAGCGAGACCATGTATGAGTTAATATGATTTTTTTAAGAAGGGAATATAAAAAGAGAAACCGTGGGAAGTTTTTTCAGAATCTTCTAATTTCCCCTCTTGTTGAGCAGAAAATCCCCAGACTTGTAACTAATGAGATACCAAAGCTCAAACACTTTTGCTTCGCTTATAATTCAAGCACACAAAACACTCTTGCCATTTTCTTATCAATCAACCCTGAAATATAACACCAAGAAAAGAAAAAGACTGTAAGCGTGAGAGGAGAAAAAATCAAACTTGGCAGTTGGCACACTGAGCTGCTTAGTATTTCTTTGATCAAATTTTGTGATAAAAGGTAGTTAATTAACTGCCTACTTCAGTTTCCATGTGAAAAAAGCAATATCGTTTCCCTCCAGAGTTCGTGTTTGCTGCCCTTACCCTCTGGTTGCGATTCGCAAGGATACAAAGGACAAAAGGGTTTTGTTTTGCTACGTTTGAGTAATCCCCAGGGGCAAAGGGTGGCCTCACGCTTTTCCCTTTTCTGGGTTCCCTAAGCAGAGAGTAGAGTGTAGTATAGTTTTTTGGGTTCTTTTGGCAAGCAGATAGATCTACCATAGCTCCTTTCTGGTAAGTTTTCCTTTTCTCCCCCCTACTGTCAAAAAATGTTTCTTTTCACTCTTTTGCTTTCTGGGTTTGCTTGTGGTTGCGGTTTTGGTACTTGGGTTTTTGCTTAAAGTTGGTTTTGGTTGAGTTGTGGAGATCTGAAAGAAGTTCATTTGTGCTTTGGATTGTTCGGTGCAGGAAGAGATAGATAATGGAGCGTCCCAAAGGTTTCTTCTCCACACTCTGGTCATTCGTAATCTTTCTCCCTATCTTCATTGGGCTGCTCATTCTGGGTATCATCAAGGGTAAGTTTTTGCCCCCCTTTGTTTCAGGTTCCTTGCTCTAAAGTGGATTGAACTGGTTCCTTTTTGCTTCTTTCATCTTTTGCCAATCATTTCAGTTCTAAAAGTATGGAATGGGTTATTGATGTATCGCCCCCTTTCCTCTTCCTCACTCTTCATCATCTAACCAATCATATGTGATTATCGTATTGGTGATATTATATGGAATGGATTTGAAATGATTTCCATTTGATGTTTCTAAATGTAGAAGTTTGCAGACTGAAATGGTGTGTAATGATTAACAGCAGCATCTTGTTTCTGCTTTGCAATTCATACTTTTCTTGGGACTACTTGAGAGTCATTTTATTAGTCTTCTATCTCTGGAGAGATCAACAATCTAATGTGAACCCTTTGTTTGCTTTTCCAGGTGTCATTTTGTGCCCAGTGATCCTCATTTTCATGCTGATTGGAAACTTTGGTATCATATTGAGTCTCTGGCCCTTTCATTTCTACTGGACATACTATTCCATTTTGAGGTGCTTTCCTGGGACCTTATTGTTCTTTTTCGTTATTGTTCCCATGCTGGACACTCTCTAATCCTCTTGGTTGTCTGCATAACTGACAGATCTAGACAACTGGGACCATTTGTGAAGCTTCTTCTTTGCATTTGCTTACCGACTGTCTTAATTCTATTGCCGGTGGTCGGCTTTGCTGGAAGCATTGTCGGTGGAGCATTATATGGCTTACTCTCACCAATATTTGCCACTTTTGATGCTATTGGAGAAGGGAAGAGTGATAAGTTATATCATTGTTTCGTTGTACGTGTCTCAAACTAAATCATTTTGATGATTCAGTTATCCACTCTTAATCATGGGATTGATGTTAATCTTAATTGATGTTTTCATTTTTTCAGGATGGAACTATAGACACCGTGAGTGGCTGTTTCACTATTATAAGAGACTTTGGTGATGTGTGCTATCATTCTTATTCCTCACTCATGGATGATCTTCAAAAGAAAGGGCCTGAAGATGGAAAGTACTATGAGATCAGGTTTTCTAATGCCTTTACTATTATATGTGTGTTCTAATCCAAGCTCAGTCGTCCTTCTAATAACACAAACCATAGTTTGCAAGACTCACGTAATTATGTAGTAAGAGGAGTGAGCCCATTAGCTGAATGATTCGTTTCCTCTGCTATTCCTACAGACTGCTTCAGTTTCCTGGTGCTCTAATTGTTGGTGTGCTCGGTGTCTTGCTCGACTTCCCCATGGTCTCTTTCATAGCCTTATGCAAGAGCCCGTATATGTTGTTTAAGGGATGGCATCGTCTGTTTCATGACCTCGTTGGTAGAGAAGGCCCTTTCTTGGAAACAATATGTGTTCCATTTGCAGGTCTTGCTATTTTACTCTGGCCGCTGGCTGTTGCTGGGGCTGTCTTCGGATCCATGGTGTCGAGCATCTTTCTCGGTGCTTATGCTGCTGTGATTGTTTATCAGGTCGATGTTCATTTTTCATATGATCTGGTTTTGAGTTCATCTGTAATGTATGAGCTTCATGTAATTACATTGTATTTCTGATTCTGTATCATGGGAGTTTGCAGGAGTCCTTTTGCTATGGACTTCGATATGTTGCAGCATCATTGGCCATCTATGATGAGTACAGTAATGACATTCTTGACTTGCCGGAAGGATCTTGCTTTCCCAGGTTGCATTCTGATCTCAAACATTTAGGGAACTCACGAGAAACAACCTTGGGCCTTCACATCATAATGTGTCTTCCTTTTTCTTTTATCTTAATAGGCCGCAGTACAGAAAGAAATCCGAGGGCACTTCACGCTCAGGCTCATTTACGAGGCCTGCTTCATCGTTCAAGAAATCTTTCTCACGCACCATTTCTATCACTGGCCCTCTGGTTGATGTGAAGCCATTTGAGGTATTGCATGCTTCTGTTTCACTGGCTTGATATGCAAGTTTATATTCATGTGCAAAAGTACTAAAATGAAAACCCTCTTTGTGAGGCAGCTCCTCGAGAGCTGGTTTCAGGATTGCCAGGTCCATGGTGAGAAATTTTTATCTGAAGGACTTATTACTCAGGAAGATGTCGAAGATGCCAAGTCTGGTAAAGGAAGCCGAGTAATTAGCACTGGGTTGCCAACTTTCTGCCTTCTGCAAGCTTTGTTGAGATCTGCCAAGGCCAACTGTGCAGGCATTTTGTTGAGTAAGTGAAGTGAGTTTCTATCAATGTAGAATTGCTTTGATGCTTTCCTTTGGATTTGCATGGCTCACATGCAATCCTTGATGCAGGTGATAATGTGACTGAGATAACAAGCACAAATAGGCCGAGAGATGCTTTCTTCGACTGGTTTCTTAACCCATTCTTGGTCATCAAAGACCAGCTTAAAGCCCAGAACCTGTCCGAGTCAGAAGAGGATTACCTCTGCAAGTTAGTGCTGTTGAATGGTGATCCTGTCAAGTTGAACACTTCATATATCGGGCAACCACCTGAGACCGAGAGAAAGCGAGCTGAACTCGATGCACTAGCTAGAAGGTGGGTGAACAAACTCTCTCTTCTCCAACACATTCTTAGTTTTTCAGAACTTGACTTTACTTCCATTTTCGACTCCATTACCTAGGCTACAAGGTATTGTGAAATCGATCTCAAGGTTCCCAACCGTTAGGAGGAACTTCCAGAACCTTGTCAATAACCTATCAGAGCATCTTGCAAGGAAGAATGGCAATGGTCGAAGGAAATTTGCTCGATCAAAGAGTGCATTCGCCAGGATCTTCAGCCAGAGATCTGTTGTCAATGGGAAGCCAAGCTTCAGTCACAGTTCTGATTCGGATTCTCAACAGGCTTCTGCTTCTAGGGAGGTAGATATTGTATAATGGATGACCGTGATGGGGTTAACTGATAAATAACCATACATAATTAGTCAACCTGTTAACTGTATATTTCTTCATGGGTGTTTTAGAAATTTTTATTTGGACTTGTTTCATTATGGTTCCAGCCAAGCTACTAACCCTTGTGGTTTAGATTAGGAAAGACAACATAAATGCAGATATTGTAGATAGATTAGTTTACCCTTTTCCCCCCCTCTCTACTGTTTTCTGAATGTAACAAAATCCTATGTTGTAAAAGGCAAACTATTTGAAACAGATTTGAGGACAGACAATGCAAAAGTTCATTACCATGTTCCAGCTTTGGCTGCTAAGTTTTACCACCTTTTCTCATCATTATTGATTTTCCTTGGGATTAATACTAATTTTGGCTCCTTGAACTCGATACTTTCTCTAATGAGCCCTTGAACTTTGCTTTCCACTCAATTTGCCCACAAAGTTGGTGGCTTTTCCAAAATCCGTATTTATTTTTGTAAAATTTAGCTTAGTTTATGTTAAGATGTTGTCCCAGTTCGATTAATAAACTCAACATCAAGAAAGTACGAATCACCCTTAAGCCAGTTTAATGAAGGGTTTGGTGAGATGAACCTGATGCTTACTTTGAGTTTCAATGGTTGGAGTTGCTGGCTAGGCTCATGGAGCCTACATTTTATCACAAATTTGGTTAACTTTGATGAAAATGATCGAATTATGACTAAAATGAGCTCATTGCATAAAAGAAATTAAAGTTGAAGAGATTGTTTGAGGAATTAATTTGAGTTACCATCAATGTTTTATTTTCATTTTTATTTGCGGAATTTAATTTTTAAGGTTTAACTTTCCTGCAGTGTGGACCAAGCAGATTGGTCTGGGCTCCCCGATCAGATTGCTCTTTTTCTGTGCGTTCCATGTACAGGTCTATTGCAGACAGGCGTTTTCCGGGGGTTCCTAATTTCCCAGCCACCTCGATTTGGAGACGTGTGGTTCCCTCCAAAATTTGTGCGTTCGTGTGGCTGGCGGCGCATCATAGGATCCTTACCATTGATCATTTGAAGAGGAGAGGATGGGTGATGGCGAACCGATGCGAGCTGTGCTGTGCGGACGAGGAATCGGTGGATCATCTCTTTTCAGGCTGCGCTTTCAGTAGACAAGTCTGGAGTTGGATGCAGAGGGTTTGTGATGGGTTGGATCGACCTAGGGAGGATGCTATGTCAACGCTGGTTGGGTGGAAGTGTGATGAGGCCGGGGATGTGTCGGGTTGGATCAACTATTGTAGCCTTCACTCTGTTTGGTGGCAGATCTGGTTGGAGCGGAACAATCGCATCTTTAGGGACTCTAAGAGTTCCCCTGTGGTTGTCGTGAGGAAAGCGATCAGAGCGGCGTTGGGTTGGGTGACCGCCCTTGGCAAAGTCCCCAGGGAGCATGGCCTTTCGTGGATGGAACATAAAATGGGATTGTTGCAGGATAGCTTTCGTAACCGGGCGCAGGGATAGGTGCGCTGGGTTCTGTTTGGGGGTGCTTGGCAGTGGCACTGTGTTGGTTGGGGTTTATCTGGGTTTCAGCGTTTTCGGTTTTTGCCTTTCCTGCTGCGCTCTGGGCAGCATGCTTGCTGCTGGTTTTTGTTTTTGGTTTTGTTTTGGCTTTGTCTTGCTACCATCAGAAGTGGTCTGGTCCACTTAGATGGCTTTAGCTTTGGTCTATTGGTTTTTCCTTTTTTCCTTCTCCTTTTCCTTTTCTGTTTCTGGTCGTCTTCCTGGACTTGGGTTGGGTGCTATTTAGTTCAGCTCTTTTGAACTAATGCCCCTGTTGTACTTGTTCCTTTTTCCTTCTTAATGCAAGTTTCGCCATTATCAAAAAAACGTTCTGTGGATAAAAAAAAAATTACAACCTTCTGTGTTCTGACCAAGTCAATTTGTTTTTGTAAACCGTCTCTCCCACTACTTCCATTTTCCCATTCTTCCCTCCCAAGTAACTAACCAACAGCAAATTCAGCAACAAAGTCACCACCACCCTTCATCTCAACTCCCCCCCTCCCCACTACTTCACCACGAAAACCCACTTCCCCTATAAATCCCACAACGCCAAATCTAGGAAACCCATTTCAGAAAACGAACAAAGACTCCACCTTTAGCAAAGATCGAGAGAATTTCCTGTCATCCCAAGAAGAATAAACAACAACAATGGCTGCCATTGCCATGAACACCACAAAGAAGAGCCCGCTGCTTTGCCTTCTCTGTACCTTTCTCACCATCACCACCACAGTCACATCATTCGAGTACCAAGTTGGCGGGGCCAAAGGCTGGGTGGTGCCACCTTCCAACGACACCAGAATCTACAACGACTGGGCTTCTGAGAACAGATTCCTCATTGGCGACACTGTCAGTAAGTAGTTGCCCCCACCCCCACGTTTCTCCTGCCATGTTCATTGATGCTCTCCATTTTGATCCATTTTCTGGTTTTTTTTTTTTCTTTTTTCCTTCTTTTTTAGGGTTTAGGTACAAGAAGGACTCGGTGATGGAGGTGAGCATGGAGGACTACAAGAACTGCAATTCGAGCCATCCCAGTTACTTCTCCAACACGGGGGACACGGTGTACGAGCTCGACCACTCGGGGCCTTACTACTTCATCAGCGGTGTCTCTGGCCACTGTGGGAAAGGGCAGAGGATGATCATCAAGGTGCTCACTACTGATCAAGATGCTGGCAAAGGCAATGGCAATGGCAATGGAACTGCCCCTCCTTCGAGTGGCGGTGAAGCGGATGGTCATCACAAGTCTGGATCAGCTGTAACTCTGCCTCTTGGTGGAGTTTCTTCATCTATTGTGGCATTTGGTCTGGCTGGCCTTGCTGCTGCTTCCATGTTCTAGTTAGTTTTAGAGGGGTTCTGGTTATTTTTTGTTTTGTTATGTTCTGTTGATTAGTTTGGAGTTGTTTTTAGGTTTTAGGACAAGAGTCTCTGTTGAACTCTTTCTCGCATTTGTGTTCGTGAGAGGGAATATGTCCTTTGTGATTGAACCCCTTTGGATTTCATGTTTCTGTTTAGTGTGTTATGATCATTTGGATATTATGGTATGTTGATACATTTCTGATTTCCCATTTCAATTTGCTTGATTCCCAGTAATCTTGGTTAATCATTGATTCAAACCTGCACAGAACTAGCAGCCATAATATAAAGGGAGCACATATTGAGATCCAATGTGATCAAACCAATGTACCATTTCTCTACTTAGTTTATATTCTCGGGTATAATAAATTTTATTATTATTTCAACTTTATCATATTTTAGAGAAATAAAAAAAAAAAAATACAATTGAAATCAAATTCGAACAAAATGTAACTTTAATCTAATTTTTTCTCCTATACACTTTTCTTTTAGTTTGTATTCAATCCGAATATCATGTATACATCTAGAAGAATTGAAAGGTTATTACTTTTGATTCAATTCCAATTAACATGTATTCATAGAAAAATTGAAGGTTGAGTAGGCAAATATGTGATCAAAATCTTTCAATAATTGTTACTCCTAAAAGAAAAGCTTGTGATGGTATTTTACACATAAATAACCAGCATATGAGAGATAATAAGAATTTTTTTTTTAGATTAACATTGAACACAAAAAATCAAGTGGGAGTTGAAAATTGGATAATGGCTCTTCTTCTCCATCTCCCTAATGAAAGGCACTGCAATCTTTCCAAAACAGCAGCAATCTTTTCTTTTCTAGTACCACAAAATGAGAAGTTATCCAATTTCAATCCTCCATCTTCTCCCATCTTTGCATCTCTATCCACCCATCACACACCAAAGATCAAAATCGAACCCTTTTCCGTTCCTAGAAACAACAAAACCATTTCTTCTGCACAGAAACCAAAACAACAATACCAAAAACACACCAAACCAAGAACATATCAGAAACAATAATTATCAAATCATCAAATTTTGAAAAAGTTACAAAGAGTTGTTCTTTTTCTTCATACGGTTGAGGAGTCTTGATATTGGTCATCTTTTTTAGAAGGAGTTTTATTCCTTTGTGATGCGGCTCCAGAAGCTCCAGTTGTGCCTCCAGTCTTCTTCTCATCTCTAGCTTTGCTGAATATCACTGTAAACCCTTCTGCTGATGCTGGGTTGTTCACATCCCACTCCCCAAATTTTGGCAATGGTCTTGGCTCTTGATGCTAAAATTTGGATCTCCCACCAAAACCCAAAAAAAGTTAGAAGGAAATATAGTAAATTGTTGATGATCCACTTCAAAACTTTGGTAAAGTTCAAGTCTTTTGTGAGATTCAATCACACCCATTACACGATCCATTCTATCCATCAACACATTCCCACTAAAGATTCCAACTTTTCTATGTTTAGTTTATAATTGTTCTAGTGAATTTCTCTTCTTTGTCGATTAAGAAGTATTTTAGAAGGATGAATTCCATGTTTACCACAAAGTTGTAACTAATATTTAAAATTCATTGCATTATATCTTGCTTTAATATTATTAAAAAAACATGCAATTTGCCATATTATCGAATAAGATTAACACATCTATATACAACAAAAAAGAAAGAAAATGAAACTATCTAACAAAAATGATCGGAGCTTGATTGCAAGAGAGCTAGGAGAGGTGATTTAACATGCCAACCAATCTATTCCACCCACACTTCAATAGATTTGTGCATTGTCTTGTAGATTTTCTTGCATCTTTGCATGAAACGGGGGAGAAAAAGAGGAAGAAAGGGTTAGTGTGGGTGATTACCTGTGCCATGAGAGGAGGGCTTCAAGAAATGCAGGGTTTTTTTTTTTCGCTTTGTGAATGGAGATAGGAGAGGAATGGGAGAAATGGTGAATGGGCTAATAATTAATGTGTGAAGATGTGTAGAATCAAAATTGAAGAGTTGGGAGAAGAAGAAAAGACAGAAAATGGAATAACCAAATGGAGGGGAAGGAAACAAACAACAGTGGGAGAGATAGATTAGAATTATGGGAATTGGGGGTGATTGTGAAATGTGATGAAACTCCAACAAGAAGTAGTTTCACAAAGAAAAGGCCAAAGTGTTCAACGAAAAAAAGAAAAGGCCAAAGACTAGAACAATCTTGTCCAGCAATGGAGAGATGCAAGAAGGATTGTTATTTGGAAGGAAGGGAAAATATGGAGAAGAGCATGAATCCTTGCAAATTGAAATCGCCCCATTAAAAATTTAGCACCATTGAGAAAAGAGGATTAGGTGGAGGAGGGGAAACAAGTAATCAGAATTCATAATTTTCATAAAATTTGGAGACATGTATTCTGACTTAATAATAGATTTGAATGTAATTAAGTTACTTGAAAAGTTATAGTAGAACAATTGGATGATTGATAATTTGTAGGTGCTGGTTCGAGTTTCTGAAAATTTTAATGCGTTAATTTATATATTTCATTTTTCATAAAAGTAGTAAAGAATACAATGTTATTAACTTGTACCGATGTCATGATATCGTTGAACTATAAGTCTTTAGTTATATTATGCTATTTTTTATGATAATAATTTATTTACTAAAGTATATATAATTAGTTAAGGTTACCATCTGGCTGACAATCATCTAATCATGTTAAATTATTATGTGTTTAGAGTATTTGCAAGTATGCTTTTGGTGTGTAATGTTCTTATTCGTTCTGGGTTGCGTCAGTGGGCTTTCAGCAAGAAGAATCAGCTGGGCTCGAAGATACCAAGCTTATCTTATGATTGGGCCTAACGCGGCAGTCTGGCCGCCACACGCTCTCTTCACTCTTCCCAATCCAATTGCCGGCAAAAGTTCAGCGCCGAGCCGCCGACCCACCCACCAGAAATACCCTCCCAATTCGGCCACAAAATCAACGATCCACATCCTGCCACGTCATCCCAAAGCGAAAAGTCCGACAAATCCACGGCACCAATTCAATCAACCCATACGTAACCACACTACACGCCACAAAACCCACCGCCTCATTTTACCTTATTACCCCTCTGCTTTCGTTCTCCCCGCATCGCTTCTTCGTCTTCTTCCCTTTCATCCTTCCTTTCTCTCTGAGTCCAATCCCCCAAAGGCGAAATCCATCAAAAAGAACGAACCAGCCCAAAATGGCGTCCAGCCTACTGAGACGCGGCGTGTCTCTGGCCAGAACGACGGCGGCGGCGTCACCATCGACAGCGGCGAGGCTTGTGGCGGCCCGCCCTCACGCCTCCGAGGCGGAGGCACAGAAGGTGGAGCCGAAGGCCCGCCCAACCACCGACGTCAAGACCTTCCAAATCTACCGATGGAATCCGGATAACCCGTCGAAGCCGCAGCTTCAGGACTTCCAAATCGACCTCAAGGAGTGCGGGCCCATGGTGCTCGACGCCCTTATCAAGATCAAGAACGAGATGGATCCGTCCCTGACCTTCCGACGTTCCTGCCGGGAAGGGATCTGCGGATCCTGCGCGATGAACATCGACGGGTGCAATGGGTTGGCTTGCTTGACCAAGATTCCTGAATCGTCCGCTGGGCCGACGATGATCACGCCGCTGCCGCACATGTTCGTGATTAAGGATCTTGTGGTGGATATGACGAATTTTTACAATCAGTACAAGAGTATTGAGCCGTGGCTGAAGAGGAAGAGCCCTCCGGAGAATCCAGGGAAGGAGATTCTGCAGAGTAAGAAGGATAGGGCGAAGCTGGATGGGATGTATGAGTGCATATTGTGTGCTTGCTGTAGCACTTCGTGCCCGAGCTATTGGTGGAACCCAGAGTCGTACTTGGGACCTGCGGCTCTGCTTCATGCTAACAGGTAAAATTCTGATTCTCTTGGTTATAGTGACTGTTAGATGGTTCTAGTTGGTGGACATGGAGGAAGTGGATTAGATATGCCTGAACTGGGATTGCATTGCTCAATGATTAGATCGTGTAGAGAATTCAGTAGGAAAATGCATGTGCTTAGCGAATTCCTTGGTGTTAGAGCTGTGAGACCTAGGACTGGTTTGCTCTATTTTAGGTGTCTAGAGAAGTTGCTCATACAAATGCACAGGCTTAGCAAATTAGCTAGGCTGGTGATAGATATTCATCTCTGCTAAAGAAGCTTAATGTTCATGTTTCTATGTGTTGAATATGATACGGAACATTTGGGATCATATGAATAGTATTATGCCTTTCATTTAAGAGCCAGTTCTTGTCTAGGATTGGACATTTCTTTGCGCTCTTCATTGCTAGGATGGTTTTGGTGCTAGGCTGTTGATTTTCTTCAATGGTATACGGTGTTTGTCCTTTCTATGCAATTTGCTTGTGAGACTATCCGGGAATTGGCACTGAATGGTGTGAATTTGGATGCACCTTGGTGCTCATTTGATTGTACCTTGGTGGTGATTACTACTGTCAAGTTGTTATGTTTGATAATTGTGCTTTGAGATTTGGAAGCAATTGTCCTCTTTGTTTGGTCATATAAACATATGTTCTAACCCCTGTTAAGACTCATATTGATCTGCTTGGTTCAAGTTTAAAGCACTAATCTAGAGGGTCATGTGTTCTGCTGTTGTGGGCAATCCATTGCGTAGCTCTATAGGGTGTTATAGAGTAAAGGAGATGGGAAACCGGTCATGATATAATATTACAGAACTTGGCGACAAGAGCAGTTAGCTTGTTATTATTTTATTTCTTTGAGGATAGTGACTTGAGTTTTATGGTTAACCTGCATTGATTATAAATCGCAATACTTGCTGTATGTCGTGAACTTGACCATATTTGAAACTCTTCTGAAACAAATGCAGATGGATCAGCGACAGCCGAGATGAGTACACCAAGGAGCGGCTGGATGCCGTGAACGACGAGTTCAAGCTCTACAGGTGCCATACTATCTTGAATTGCGCTCGTGCCTGCCCAAAGGGGTTGAACCCTGGGAAGCAGATCCAGAATATCAAGGGTCTTCAAATGAGCGGTCCTGCTGCTTGAGTTTGATTAATACTAGTTTTGGAGGAGAAGCATTGAGGATTTGCATTGACCAGTTTATTATTTCGGATATAAACTTGCTTTGTGGTAGTTTTAAATAATTTGTACAAACAATTGTATTTCGCTCAATCGATCCTCTTTGTATTTAAGTGTTGTCATTGGGGACTTTTGTCCCTCTTCTCTTCAGAATAATACAGGTTTTACTGGGGATGCCTATGTTCTGTGAAGTTAGCTTGACCTTGCACCTCCTTGGCAGTAGTACTAGAAAGATTGGTGCTTTGGCTTGTGACATTTGAGGATAGTTAACCCCTATTGTTCGGCTTGTGGTTCCAATTGCCATATGTCTCATCCAAAGTTTACAAAAGCTCAAACTTATGTTATTGATGTCAAATTCCCTTAGTTGGATGTTCGATGTTTAACATTGTTAATGTGTCGTGTCTATTGTATCTTTTTCCAGTAGTTCGAGTTTGGGCTTTACTTATGTCTATTGCATATTTTTCCAAACTCACCATCCATTATCACTTATGCTTATTAATTTATCATAGTTGCTTGTCAAGGCAAATCCTCAATACTTCTCCCAATCTAGTATTAATCAAACTCACAATTCACTTCTTTAGCACTCATTAACTGATTTGGAGCTCAATGTTTCGTCAATTCTCCCAATAATCACTCTTGTATGCAATTGTGCCGATATTTTCTATTAGTCGATCCACAAGTCTTAACAATTTTGACAAAAATCCTTGTAGAGTTGTAGACTTGTAGTGTGGCAATAAACATTGGTAAAGAATCGAAGTTCAGTGACCAATTTGTCAATTAGTCCCAAAGTTCAGGGGTTAAAGACACATTTGGTCACTGGGATTACAAAATCGGGACATGTTTAGTCACTTAGAAAAAGTTAATATCCAATTTGGTTACTACAATTACTAAAACTGGACACATTTAGTCACTCGTCGTTAGTCTCCGTCCAACTCCGTTAATGAAGTCCATTAAGTGCTGATGTGGCAAACAAAATTGCCTAATCAGCCGGATATAACCCAACAAAAATAAAATCTGACCCGCCACATCATTATAACCCGCCACGTCATTAAAACCAACCCAACCCACCCAACCCTTCTTCCTCCTTCCTCCCACCTCCCACCTCCTTCTTTCCCCACGTCAATGAAGGAGAGCTGGGCTCCTCCATTGACTCCTGCCTTGTGCTTCCTTCTCTCTTCAATTCCTTCACCTGCCCCTCCACTCCTCTCTCTCTATATCTACACATTTCCTTCCTTTCGCCATAGCAGATCAGATCACCCTTCATTCCCCCCATTTCCCCCAACCAAACACAGCTGCTTAGAAAATCTTCGACGCAGCTCATTAGAAAATCATCGCAAAAGAAGAAATTACGAACTAAGAGGCTCAGATTCGCCTTTAATCAGACATTCAGAAGCAAGCCACGAAAACAGAGAAGCAAGAATCACCAGCTGCCATTGGCTGCAGACAAATTAAAGGAGGCCATAAAACCCTAAAAAAGGTGTTGCAACACTCTCTCTCTCTCTCCAAGATGTCGCCATGCCAGGTAACTGATATCCAGCCTTTGCTATCTCCGTCTCTGGGAAGTCTGATAGAATCATTCGTCATAGCCTCAGGCGAGAGTGAGAGAGAGCGAGAGGAAGAGTGAAGGTCGATGAAGCAAAGCAAAGGAAATCATATATATATTTGGGAGGTGCCGAGGTGGGAGGAAGGAGGAAGAAGGGTTGGGTGGGGTTGGGTCATGGGTTGGGTTGGTTTTAATGACGTGGCGGGTCGGGTTTTATTTTTGTTGGGTTATATCCGGCTGATTAGGCAATTCTGTTTGCCACATCAGCACTTAACGGACTTCATTAACGGAGTTGGACGGAGACTAACGGCGAGTGACTAAATGTGTCCAGTTTTAGTAATTGTAGTGACCAAATTTGATATTAACTTTTTCTAGTGACTAAACATGTCCCGATTTTGTAATCTCAGTGACCAAATGTGTCTTTAACCCCAAAGTTCAGTGGCGGTTTCTATAACCGGCCCTCAAACAAACGGCCGTTGCTTGCTAGTCCCCAATCTAAGAACTCTTGATAGTTGAATACGTCCGTATAACCGTCCACATGCTTTCTTGTCACCGGTTGGCGGCCCTGGAAGGAAATGACACTAACGAATGACAAATAGAGAGAGAGAGCCCTCACGCCATTCCGACGGTAAAGATCTATATATAAAAGCCGATTTCTCTGCCAAACCAGGAACACAGAGGAACTGAGCAACACAGGATAGGACAAAGATAAAATTGATGGCGTCGTGGAATTCATTTCCCCTGGAAATCACTTACCAAACACTGGGCTGGCTCGCTTTCGTCTCATGGTCCATCAGTTTCTACCCACAGGTCATCTTGAATTTCCGCCGCAAGAGGTAACAAAGAAACAGAGCAAATTATCGGCTCCTTTTTCTCTCTAATCTTTCATCTCTCTCACTGTGAATTTTGATTTGCGTTTGTATTGACCTGGTAGTGTGGTGGGGCTGAGCTTGGATTTCCTGCTGTTGAATTTGACCAAGCACTCTTCCTATTTGATATACAACACTGTGCTCTACTTCAGCCCTGCTGCCCAGCAGCAGTACTTCGAGAAGTATGGCCATGAACAGGTCACACTCTCTTCACTCTGAACTTGTAGATTTCCACTGTATTTTCTCTGCTAATTGATGTTTTCTGTAGTGGGTTTGGGATGTACTTGCTCAAAGTTGCAGTCTTTAGCTCAAACTTCATCTAGGTTTAGGGTTAGGTTTTGGAATGAATGATCATATAGAGTATATAGAGATTGAATTTAAGGTTACAGAGATTCAGAACATATTTACACGATTGTGATGATTAGGGAGATTGAATTTTGGAATTCTTCAATAGAATGGGCTCTGATAGTTTAATATAAGTTGGAACGTTTTGGATGCTGTTGCTAGCTAGCTCTTCTATTTCTCCCCAAAGTCTGTGATGGAGATAAAACGTATTGTTCTTACAGATGATACCAGTTGCTGCGAATGATGTTGCTTTCTCCATACACGCCGTTGTATTGACTGCAATCACGCTGTTCCAAGTCTTCATCTATGAAGTAGGTGGTTTTGAATTATCTCATTCAGCGGATTGTTTCAAAACTTCTACATCTTTGGCCAGGCCTAATCCAAGCTTGTTCTTTCTGCTCGGAACAGCGAGGAACTCAGACAATCTCCAAGATCTCGATAGGAATAGTCAGTGTAGTATGGCTATTCGCTGCAGTCTGTGTCTTCGTTGCTTTACCTAGCCATTCTTGGCTATGGCTCATCTCCATCTTTAAGTAAGTTTGCTCCTTAACCTCTTTCATGTCATAGCATCATCATAGCCTATGTCCATTAATGCTTAGTTTCACTGTCATTTGGCTGTCAGCTTCATTCAAGTCTCCATGACGGTGATCAAGTATATCCCACAGGCAGTAATGAACTTCATGAGGAAAAGCACTGAGGGGTTCAGCATCGGCAACATTCTGCTTGATTTCACCGGTGGTGTTGCCAATTACGGACAAATGGCTACACAATCGATCGACCAAAGTATGTTGTTCATTCTTTCCTCCATCATAATATAACCAACCGTTTCGCAATTTAGGCTTATTGAGGTCGAGCTGATTTGAACCACCTTCCTTTGCCTGTTCCAGATTCTTGGGTGAACTTTTATGGCAACATAGGGAAGACATTGCTCTCTTTGGTATGTAAACTTACACAACATATCTTCTTTTTTTTGGGGTAGAATACACAACATATCTTTGAAGTTAATCATGTTGAAGGCTTTCTTCTAAAGATGTCATTTCTGCTTGAATTTTTCATTGCAGGTTTCAATTTTCTTCGACATTTTGTTCATGGTCCAACATTATATTCTTTATCGACCGAAGAAAACGAGTGGTATCAATGGGAAGGCGACGGACAAAGGGAACAACGATCCACTTATCGATTCTTCTGATGATCATCAGCCACAAGCTTCAAATGTTTGAGTCTTGGACTTCTAAGTTTTTAAGTAAAGGGGTGTCAAATCTTGTAAGTAAAGCATTGGGAAATAATATGAAATCCAACTTGTTTCAGCTTTGGTTTTAGTAGTTTTTGTGAAGGTGGTTGGCTGATAACCTCCCAAATTTTAATTGAAGTTTACATATAGCACAATCTCACATTATAAAATCGCTATACTCATCAAATCTTGATCTGACTAGCATTTGTGTGTCGATTATGTCATTGTAACTAACACAAGTCACTCTAAAACTTGAGTCCACCTTTATCCTACAAAGAATTTTTAAAATGTCATAAATTTAAAGATTGCCAAAACTATTAAAAACATACAATACAATGACTTAGTAGTAGAAGAAATGATCGGATTATTTCAAAATAGATACTCTAACAGTTGCTTTTAAAATTCAAGAATTTAAATTATCGTGAATAATGTGAATTAACTGTTTAAGAAACAAAAAACAAAATGGGGAAACAATGTGAATTAACTCCTTAAGGAACAAAAAAACAAAATGGGGAAACAGATAGGAAAGGAGCTAAGCCAACTTTGGTGGGTGTGGTGAGTCTACATTCTACATGGGTTGCAAAGAAGTTGACCTTGGGAACCAAGTTATGTTTTAGACCATTCATTTCAAACACCGCCCACCTTAATAAGGCAATCCTTGCTCCCCAAGGTTTCTCCTTTCCTCTCTCTTTCCCTTTCTTGCTATTATAAAAACCAAAGCCATAGATCCATTTCTGCAAAATCATCCACCATTACCAAAGGGCTCATAGTCCTGTAGAGTATATAGACTATAATCTAACCCACCTAACTCTTATATTATCAGGGTCGAGTCCTCACAGACTCCCTGTTTATCCTCCTCCTCTGTTTATCTTTACCCTCCTTTTCTTTTGTTAAAGCAGTAGTTGTTGGTTGCTTCTATTTACAAGGCCAAAACTCCATTCAAAAATTATGAAGAGGGAAGGGTGGCAACATGGAATTGTTAGAACCTACCCGGTCTGCCCAAACCAACCAAATTTGGCCCGGCTCATCAAGAGCTCGAGCTCCCCTCTGATCGTCGGAACATTCACGCCGGTCCCGCCCAAGCCCACTACCAACCACTCCAAGTACATCGGAAGATGCGGGACGCGTCACAACGGTAAGTCAAAGAACAACATCAAGGGGAGCCATAAGTTGAGGTGGCATGACGCAGTGTCCAATCACGGCGTAGCAGCTCGTTGGGCAGAGGAAGGCAGCCGGTTCCACTCCGGCTATTGTTACGGTGGGATTTCGGTTGCCGGGTTGTTAGAGAAGTTGGCCATTGATGTGGATCGTGATGATGGCGATTATCAAGATAACGATCGTGATTGTGAGAACCCTTAGATCAAACTTAGTTACTCTGATGTTATTCTTACTAAGAAGCACCTAACCCACCAAGGAATTTTTCCTTGTGGATGATGATATTGCAATGACAATGTGACAAAGATGGTTGTTTGATCTTTTCACAAGCTCGTTGCAACCAAACCCATGTATTGTACTTTCTCATTTGGTTACTAAGCTAGCTAACAGCTATGGTATATTATAATGAGAAAGTGGAAGCAACTGAACAATCGAGCTCATTCCAATGGATCAAAAATTAGTCATTAAGATTTCAGAAGCTCAACCATGACATGGTTCAAAACATACAAGAACTAATCAGCTCATTCTATGAAGAATAGAAAGGAAGATCAAAGAAAATGGGTCAATGGTTAATGACAGAACAAGGTCAGCTTGGCCCTCTCTGTGGACAGTGGTACTCACCCCCCATGAAAGAACTTGCATCTAGCAATCTTCAGGTTGCTTGTTGCTGGATATTTGGACAACTATTCTCCGCAGCAGTTGCTCTCAGTCTCGCACGTAGGCACCGTGGATTGTTGCAGCTGTCGTCGTTCTTCTTCACATTTCTGCCACTGTTCTTGCTTGAACTTCTCTGAACAATCTGTGGAATAGTACTAGTATTCTTCACCATTTTTGCAGTTGAAGTCTCTGGTTCTTGTGATGGAGAAGGATGTGTCAGTGGAGCCTGCATGCAGAATCGAGCACAGATTAGCCCCAGAACGGGAAATGTGAAGCTACTAAGCGGAAAGATGGAAACTTTCGGTTATAACCTTGTCCATCTGGTTCTTTGGTGTTACTCTTTGCTTATAGAACCCTGGCAATGGCCTGGCCTTGAAGCAAAGGCTCTTCCTCAGCTTTTTCATTTCTGTTTCTGCCTTCTCCTACAATTGCACAACCGTTGAATGAAAGTAGACCTATAGCGAATATTGAAGACTATAGAAGGCGGTATAGCCATAACTATACCTTGACTGTTGCTTGTGACTGAACCTTTTGAGCTTGATTAGCATTGAACTTCTCTTCCAGCTTCTGTAACAAAGCATCCAAATTCCAAAAGTGTACAAAGAGATGGAAAATTTCAATCAAAGCCACCTGGAAACTCAAATCTTTCATACTGAACTTGCTTTAAAGCTCACCCCTTTCCGTCTTGCAGCTCTTTCTTCTGTTCTCAAGCTGAAAGGCGTAGGAAAGCATGGTGACTGCTGGGATTTGTTTCTGCAGCCACTCATAAACTTCGAGCAACTGCCATAAAAGAAACATATTTCATTTGTAAATCTTTGGTTATTCATTCAATAAAAATGGGGCTTCGTTCTAGCTGGATGACTATTACTCTGTAGGTAGGAAATGCCATCTTGGCCTAACTGCCTTGCTTCCAGAGGCTGATGCTGCTGCTGATGGATGAAGAGGTGTTCTTGCCCAGAATTCTGACTGTGGGGTTGTTGTTTCTGGGTGATTCTTAGATTCTTCTCTAGATGGAGTTCTGAATGGAGTTGAAACTAATGAGCTATAATCATTAGCCATCGTAGGCTTACTCGAACCGGCTCTAGAACAATCAATCTTCCTGATGATGGTGGAAGTTATTCTATTGATTTCTCTCACAGGAGTGAAGTTGATGGCCTTATTCTGACTCGATTTTGGTGTCGACGATCTCTTGTTGACTGGAGTAGTAGTAGCAGTCAAGCTTTTATTTCTGGCTGCTGGAACTTTTCTTCTTACAACCAAGTTGCTTGAGAAAGAAACTGCAGGCTTCTTCTTGGTGAACGAGTCAGAATCACTTGCATTAGAGATGAAATCCTGCTAAAAAATTTGGACATAAGCTCAAGCTAAAGATCCCCACTTGAGCTAAAAGTACAAACTGTTCTATCTTTGTTCTACTTACCTTCAACAATGGCTTCTCCATTTGGTTTGTACTTTCCCCTTTGCTCTCAATAGCTTCAACTTCAGTCAAAGCTTCTACCTTTGTGCAAGAACTCTCGACGGCTTCGTTTTCGGGTGGTGGGTTGGGTTCATTGGCCTTGTTTGGTTCACATTTACTGGAGCTCCGTGCAGAACCTTTTGACTTTGTTCTGGTTACCTTCAACAATGGCTCCTCCATTTGCTTTCTACCATCACTGCCCTTAACTGGTTCAGATTCATTCGACTTCCGTGCGGAACCTTTTGACTTTGTTCTCATTGCCTTCAACAATGGCCTCTCCATCTGCTCTCTACCTTCATCGGCCTTAACTGGTTCAGATTCATTGGACTTCCGTGCAGAACCTTTTGACTTTGTTCTCGTGACCTTCAACAACGGCTTCTCCATTTGCTCTGCACCATCAAGACCACCATCTCTATTACCTTCCTCCTTGCTCTCAACAGATTCAACATCAACCAAAGCTTCAACCTTTACCCCAAAACTAGGGTTTGGTTCATTAGCCTCATTTGGTTCTGATTCCTCCATTTCCCCACCATTCCCCTGCTCAAGCAACGCTGCAGCTGCTTCTGCAGCAGCGGCAGCTTCTGCGGCGGCCTTTCGAGCAGCGAGATTGCGGTAATGAGCCTCGAAGAAGGCTTTCTTCTCAGCCACCGAGCCAGGGCGGGAGAATTTCTCAGCTTCTTCGACATACTTGTTGCTAGAGAAAGTCGACCATTTCTCCCATGACAAAGACTCTGAAGTGAACCTCCCAAAGGAGACAGATTGCCCAAGTGAGCTGATCAAGTTCCCCTGCATTATAAAAGGTCAAAGCCTTATAATTTCTTTTTCCCTTACCAAGATTGATTCCATGAGGAACCTAGCAGACAGAAATGGAAGAAGAAGAAGAAGAAGAAGAAGTGAAGTGTGGCAGAGGAAACATACCTCTTTGGCTTCATTGGAGATGCCTGCAGTGTAAGAGAATGGCTGCTGCTGCATGAGACAGGTAACTGTTTCCCCCATGAGAGCTGTGGGGTTTGGAGCTTTGTGGGTGATGAGTAAGTTTGGGAAACCTCAAAGTTGCCCAATGTTGGACTTGAACCTCATTAATGGTTTTTTATTAGGCAAAATACACTTGTATAGCCATAACTTTCACACTTTTGACAAATATAGCCATAATTATCCGAAAACACAAAATAACCAATTCCGTCCATTTTGTTAACGACGTCAGTTGACGGCATGACTGTACTAACGGAAAAAGATGAGTTGGCGATGGATTTACCCCATCAACCGACGTGGATTATAAGGAAAAAAAATATAATAATAAAAAAAAAACAAAACAAGAAAGCGACTACAACCTTCCCTTCTTCCCTTCCCCGCCGCTACTCTTCCAGCAGCTCTACCACCATCACCACTCCCTGTCCAGCGACAACATCGACGATGACAGCTCCATCCGGCGCTAAAGGCGGTGATGGAGAAGAGCGGGGATGGGATGACTCTTCCTCCGCCAACGCCAAGAGGAGGCGGCAGATCTGGATCCAAATTTCCCCTCATTTTGCCGGCCGATCGATGGGTAGCGACGAAGAGACCCACCGCAGCCGCTTCTCCAGATCTCCCAGCTCCTGCCCACTCCCGCCCTCTTCTCCTTCTTTCTTTTCCTGCCCTTCTCTATTTGATTTGTTGATTTTGGCATAAGTACCTGCAGCTTTATCATCTCGGCCTCCAGCGAAAGAGCAACCAACGATGATGGGCTTCAAGGTTAGCCCCAAATTCACACTGGACCAACCAAACAAGGGCTTCACTTTCTTCTTTCTCTTTGATTTACCCATCTCCCTCTCATTACTTCTGGAAACAAACGAGGGAAACGAAGATAATACTTTGCCGACGGTGACTGGAGGCGAACACCGTCGACGATGATAATGACGACGACGAGGGGCGACGCCGTTTGACAACGACAACAAAGGCGAGAGGCGATTTTTTATCTTGTGTGTCGATTTATCTGGGGTTTTCATTTGATTCTGCTTTGGGAAGTTGGATCTGAGTTTTTCTTTGATTTTCTGGGTTTAATGGCGGAACTAGGGGATCGAAAATGCAGCCGGAACTACACCGTCGGGGAGGTATGTGGGATCCACGATTTGGGTTCACGATTGGCTATTTGACAGGGCTCAACTTTGATATCGGAAATCTTCGTCTTCCACCGCTCCATCACCGCCAATCTGGATCCCTCCGTTTCCACCGTAACAACATCATCGCCGGATCCCAAATCCTCAAACGATGTCGTCATCCTCCAGCTTCCCCCAGAGAATAGCCAACCAAGGAAGATGAAGCAGTTGTAGATCGGGTGGCCAACGATTCTAGCAGCGGTGGTGGCGGATTTGATTTACTGGAGGTGGGAGTGGGGCGAGGTGGGAGGAAGGGGAAGGGTCGCGGCGGCCGCGAGTTGGAGGAAGGGGAAATTCCTCTTTTCTATTTATTTTATTTTATAATTTATCATATATAATCTACATGTCACTTTATGCTGATTTGTCGATGACGTGTACGCTGATTTGGCGTCCTAATCAGCAAATCACTAACAAAATTGACGGCGTCACTAACACCGTTAAAGTTTATAACGAAAATGGCTATATTTGTCACACTACCCTCCAATTTCCTGGCTATTTTGGGTTTTCGAATAGTTCTGGCTATATTTGTCAAAAACGTGAAACTTATGGCTATACAAGTGTATTTTGCCTTTTTATTATGTCGTTTTGGTACGATGAGATTTTCTCATGGGAATGGTGGTTAGCCGTTTAAAAATTTTGAATTTCAAAACGAGGGGAAGTGCAAGAAAAAGGTTGTATTGGGTTGGGACAAGGCAACAAGAGAGAAAGGGCACCACACAAAATAGAAAAGGAGCCTGGTCGTGGTGGATGTGATGATGATGTGGAAGCAAAGCTTTTCCAGCTTTCTTTTTATTCAAACAAGGTGTTCAGCACAGTGGAAAAGAGATAGTTTTAATTTTGATTAGTACCTTTAATTTTGATTGCTTAAGACAATATAATTTGAGTTATTGTTCAGGAAGATTGTACTAATGTTTTTCCTCTTAAATCTAACACTGTATGTTTTAACTTTTAATTGTCTGAACGCTCCATAATTTACACCGAATTACGATCGTTACTTTAAATTATCTTTTTATAGGACGAGCGTATAATTAATTTTATCTTTAAAAATTAGATTAACTCAATTTATTCATCCTACGATTTCCAAAACACTTTCCTCTAATTTGATGACCATGCTCATTTTTGTATGCTATGTTGGTGACACTTGATGCAGTTTACCCCAAACTCATGATTAATTACTCATATTTTCCTAATGAGAAGGGAGCTTAACCACCACTAAGTGGCCCACCATTGTTGACATAAGAATGGGAGAGAAGACATAAGGAATCCTTTCAGCGTCCGGATTGTTAAGTTTGTGTTTAAATCTAGGGAGACAAATCTATGCTCATGGCTCTAGGTCAATTAGTCCCAAAGTTTTAAAGATTCTCTTTTGCACTAATCATGCTTTTGGGAACCCCAAAACACTGCCCTATTCCTCGTATTACCCTCTCAACAATACTCTATCCAGTTGGGATGTTAGACTCATATTGCACCTTATCAAATTTGAATCATAACCCCACTCATGCTTGAAAGTTGTCATAACAATTCCTTTGACAATTTGGCTAAGGTGTAGCCGGGATTGCTTGTGGGGGCAACTCAAGAATGAAGAGATACTTGTGCAGTATCGTCTGTCTGAATGAAAATAAGTAAGATGGTTTGCCTAGCTAATCATGTTCACAACGTAAGCAAAGACCATTTGAAGCGAAAAAGGGTCAGTGACCAAGAAGATGAAGAAGTGCTCAAGTCCATTAGACAAGGCTAAGAATGAGTATGATTCCTGTGCTGACCGTGAAGTGAGTAGCCTAGAATCTGTTGAGGTCAACCAGGAAAAAGTTCAGCACATTGGACACCACCCTATACACACCAATAATATCAGAGTATTCAAATGTCGACCCTCCAGAAACACAAAGGGTCGAAAGAATGAAGCCCTGGCCCCTGGGCATGGACACAATACAACTCTACAGAATGCTCTCCACAGTGAACAAATGCCGAAGTAAGCCAGTTATCCTCGATTTGAACCTGATAGAGAAAAGGGAAGAAATGCTTAGTTGAGCAGCTGCCACCTTTCAGAAATCATAATGGTGACGAAAAACTGTACCTTAAGATAAGATGACGAGCCCTAGGTATATAGATGCACAGAGAAACAAGAATGATATCATTCCCCTACAAGTAGTCAGGAAGGTGAAGCAGTCAATGAGTCATCATACAGGCAACTAAGGAATCATAAGAATTCTTGCCGACTTAGGATGCAGTAACACTAATGGTTTACTTTAGTTCGTCAAAGAGACAGGACTCACCAGATCATTCCCCATCCAACACCTGTGCATGGACAAGGACAGAGTTCTGCAAACTTCTCAGCATCGCTAGAGTTGACTCTTCTAGATATTAGGTCGTCATATATGTCTGCAGACCAACCAATTTTTGCGTTGAGGACTAGAAAACCTTAATGAATGCTCAATAAGTCATGGAAAAAGGGTAATACAAGAACCATGGGATGCGTACCATAAACTGAAAACAAACTGTTCATGACACCTGCAGGGGAATAAGGTGGTAGAATCAGCTAACTAACTTTGATGATGGAAGGGCCAAGTACAAGCTACTTAATTATTGAAGGGGGGGGGGGGGGGGGGGGGGAACTTGATATGGATGCTTATACCAATGAAGAGAATAACATATCGAAGGATCCGTACTTTGGTGTATTCTTGTAATACCCAAATGATAGCAAGAAACGCAATGAATCCTGAACATTTAAACTTGTTAGAGTAAACATCTCAGAAAAGCAAAGAATGTTCATAACTCGTGCAGATAGGATATTTTGTACAAAAACTGATAGAGCCCTCACCAATGCAAAGTCCTCGAAGTGTCCACTGTATGGAAAATTATGCAGAAAAGTGAGAATGCGAAACTTTAAAGGATACGATCTATCAATTAAATATTTACAAACGAACAAAAGCCACCAAAGGGCAAGGGGCTAAGTGGAATGATGATAGATTTGTTCACTTACATTCTTGGCAATAAACAGCACTATGAGTAGCGCAAGACCCAAACAACCAGCAGCAATTCTTGCAGTAAGAAGATTGGTGGATGCAAGTATCAAAAGCATCCCCCAAAATGAAGATCCAAGATCTGCGGGCAAAGTACCGAAAAATAATAATAATCAACATCTGGAATACCATCCTGTCCTCTTTTCCAAATACGGACAAGTTTGGCTTCTCGGTAAACTATATCAAGAAATTATCATGCAACAAAATACTTGTGACCATGCATGCACCATAGGAATCTTAATACCCGAAAACTTGGGGCACTAACACCTACACCTTGCTTTAATGAACCACAGACTTGAGAAAACATTGCACTGAAGTAGAGAAGCTTGAGCTGATCCTCGGCAATGTGTCCTACAGCTTGCTGCTCAAGCATCACCATTTAGTTTCATAAGAGGAAAGAGGAGAACGAATAGAACAACAAGAAGCAAAGAACAAATAGTACCAGGATCCAGGAGCAGCTTTTGCATCCTTTACTCATTGAACTCAAAGTCCTATTGGAAGTTTCTACTATTGTGGAATAGGGCCCTTTTGCCAGCTGAAACGGAAGTGCTTCTTGTGTTACCTTCTTTAGAGAAGCAGAAGTTGCTATCCAGCAAACATGTCCATCAAATCACCTCAAACTCATTCTTCCCTTCAGTTAGCAAAACACCAACCTTTAGCCAAATGTGTTGACTTGTGATCCAATTATTCCATGTGCAAGCAATGACCCATGGCACATCCACATTATACATCTTTCTTCATGATCTGCTCATGTAAGTTACTAAGTTTTATCTCCTCAACCTAAATGAATATAGAACTTGAGAGAAGTCTAACTTCTCTTCTGTATCTAATGGTCACATATCAAAAGATATTTCTTTTAGTATGTATCACCTAGTTTTATCTAATATCCAGGGTGTGAACTGCTATCTGCTCTTAGCTCATCTCTATTTCCAGAACTCCACCCCCTCCTTCCTCGTTCCCATCTCTCTACCTTCACTAAGCTTTTCTAAGAAACACATGTATGCATACTTGCATAGATGTGAATACTGCGCCCTAAAGTGACGAATGCATTAGTTGCCGCTTTTGTTACATTAGCGTAAATTAAGCATGACATTTTCAATATATCTTCCTTGTCAACCATGTCTAGCAATAGTAAAATAACAATGATTTAAAGGAAAAGTGAATTACATCCTGCAGGTAAGATCAGCCAATATATGCCACCACGTGTTTGAGTCACGCCTCCTTCATTGGCGTGAACCTGAATCCCTTCCACCTGGAGATCAATAAGCAGTTGAATCCCTTTGCTCAACAATGGTCCAACCAGTAAACAAAGAAATGATCAAGTGATACAAACAGCTTGGGTGTTCTTAGAGACAAATTTCACTGTTCTAGCTTTGGAGCCCATGAACATAAGATTAGATCAGCATAAATGTACGACATAAGTAAATTACAAAATCATTATCAGGTTGATTCTTAACCGGGACGACATCTAACACGATAATAGTCTAGTTCAGTTAAACTGCCTTGAAAGATTATGTCTTTGGAGCAAAGCGTAATCGATAAACAGAGAGGCAGTCCAAATGCTTGATCCAAGAAACTTATAAACTACTCGCTAGCTTGATGAACATCATCATCATGACAAAAAGGGATACACCGGAGGACGGGGTGGGAAAGAATTTCTAACCTTCCCACAAGTGAGGATGCAAGCAATGGCATGACTAGCTTCGTGCATAAACACGGTTATGAGCTTGAAAGGCGTTAGCAGTACTGTCCGCCATAGCTGTGCAAATCAAATTCCCACTAAACTCTCAAACTCAGTGATAGAAAGAGTGGATCGGTTGGAAATCCAGCGGAAACAAACTCTGATAAACACATTTTCTAAGCGAACAGACTAAATGGCAGTGGCGGGAATCATGAACGAAGTTGACTAATCTGACTTGGAACTTATGAATTAAGATTAGGAAGAAGCATTACCGCGAGGATAACAAGGGAAAAGACGCCGATGGTGACCAAGAAGGTGACCTGGTCCTTCTGACAGCAGTTCTGCAGTTCCCAGTTCGGCATCGCGTCTTCCTACTGAATTGGAGTTGGAAGTCCGCTTGAGGAAGGAAGAAGACGAGAGATAGCTGGGATTGGAATTTGGAGAGGGTGGTTGCTGGACGAAAAGTAATGTCTTTGTTTGACGTTTCCTCAACAAAAAAAAAAAAAAAAAAGGTTCAAAGTGACCGACTTTTTGCTTTTTGGTCAAGGAGTGTGTTGTTTGGTCACTTACATTACATGGAAGCCTACAAGGCACAATTTTGGTGAAGTTAGAAGTTTGAACTATTCTTCTCATTTTGTGCACTAAACAATTTTGCCTAGAAATTAACTCTTTTTAAGTAGCCTAAGAACACTAAAGCTTATTTACATTAATTCTCACCAAAATCAATCATTGGTAGTTGTTTGAAATTCAACTAGTAGTACAAATTTTCGGGCATATGCATTACTAATAATGGATCAATCAATTCAAAATATGGTAAAGAAGACCAGAATTCACAACTTGTTGGTTATATGTTGGAGAAATAGTGAAGACGAACAGAATCCCCCATCAGCGCAATTTTTGCTTCAGTTTCTTCCTTCCAAGTTCTCTTGTCATCCCTCCAGTTTTATAAGAGCAGTACAGACTACAGAGGTTCCAGCAGAACTCTTCTGCACAAAGCTCCGAACTTTCGGACAGGCAATACAACAAATGCAAGTACGAATTGTACATAAGCTCTGTATGCTGTTTCTTCCCTGTCATTATCCTCATCAGTGTGGTATAAATTACCAAAATCTTTGTGCATTTTGCCAGAATATCCTCCACATTCAGTGTCATGCTCTCTCTCGTCGAAATATGTATAGTAGTAGTGAAAAGGGAAAAAAATCCTCTTTGAACTGCTAACTCATGTCCAACTATCTTGACTCGAATGTCTCTTCCTACTTCTACTGCTTTTACCTTTCGTTCCCTTACTTTTACGACCTGAAAACACCATGGTCATGACTACCACAAATCCCAAACCAGAAAATGCCCATAGAGCAACCACCCAGACCTTCAAAGACCGGAAATGGCCATCGTTCTGATCGGCTTGAGACAACTCCTGGGTGTACCTTGCTGGAACCGTGCTGGTTTTTGGTTTTTCCTCGATCTTGCCAAATTTCCTTGAAGTTCTGGTTTCAAGCTTGGGCGAAGTTAAGATGGGACTGCTGGGATCAGGGCAGTTTCTCTTGCTATGATGCAGCATCAAGGCTTCGTTCAACTTCTTCCCACATTCTATGCTGAGTAAGTTTTTCTGTAAAATGTTCTCGTCGGTTCGATCAAGAGTCGATGGATCGGGTGGGTCTGGAAACTGGGCCCAGCAAGTGTTCACGATGTCTTTGTCTCTCCAGTTGGCCTTGTCGAAGCTCCAGTTTCCGACACTGAATTCTAGACCGTAATGGAACACTCTGTACTTCACACCTTGCTCGGGGACATATCCCGGGTATATCAGTATCTCCCGGCTCACTACATGGCGTAGTTTTAGCTGCACATAAAAAGAGCGAATCTAGTTCAGAGACTGGTTCTCAACATATTGTGAATATATGCAAGATGAGATTCATCATATCATATGGACAAAGAACTTCGTGGAAAGTAATCAATTACCTCTGCTGCACCAAAGGAGTAGCCATACATCTCACTGATCCAGCCAGATGAGTATATATCTCCAGTAAGATTTGTGGCATAATGCTCTTTATCGAAACGAACCTCCTCCGTCTTAAGTAGCCAGTACATAGCGAACTTCCTGAGATCATCAATATGCATGATGATTACACCCCCAACCTTGTCACAGTATTCAGGATGGCTCGTATGCATTTCCGCAAGCTCATTGTCGCAGCCAATCAAGTACCTTGAAGAAAAAGTTTCCAAGTATATGTTAGAGACGTGTCAAAAGTTCTTTCAGAAGTGGTATGGTGGCAATGAGCCATGAGTCTGAGTCTTACTCATAAGGAGTTGAAACTGGGTGGCCACGAGATGCATTGAATTCCCACGGTGTAATTGGACCTCTCAAAATCATGTCAGCATCAAGAATAACAATGTACTCAGCATCAATGTCACCCACGTGATTAAGCCAATGAAGGACACCAGCAGGTTTGTTGATTGCGGGATACCTGTCATGCAACACAAAATCATCAGCAGTTAGCACTTGAGAGCTTCTTCTGCTGGTTTTCTGCATTATCGTTACACAAGGGAACCAAACAGCAAACTGCTATCTTTTGAAAGGTGCAGCCACAATATTTAGCTTACCAGTCACCGGTTAGTGGATGCCGGCTCATGGAAGGAACATAGTGAGTAGGAGCCAAATCATGACCTTTATATTGCTTAAGGTCTTCATCAGTACAGCTGAGAAGTCGTGTTATGTTTCCAGGCTGGCCACTGAGATGGAAACTATGGATAAGACCTACAGTTTGCCAGTCAAAGTAGGGTGAACATTCTGTCGAAAAAACTGTGTGGATCTTTGGATGTGGTTTCATAGTTTCACCAAAGAGTGGCTGCTGATCTTCACCGGCTTCCATAGTTTGCTGTACACCAGGAGAGAAAATTTTGGGACGACTAAGATTAGCAAAAGTTTTACTCTTTAAGAAGCTCAAGTACTTGGACCATTTTGGCTTCGGGCATCCATCTGCAGCATGCCTTAATACAAGCCCTTCGTTCAAAGTGTTCATGCACTCTACGCTCAGAAGCAATGCCCGTCGCTTATTCGGCTCAGATTCCATAGTATAGACCTGTGAAATGCCAAGATCATATAGGGTTCAGCAGGAAGCCTATATGTAGAACAAGGCCAAATAGTTCAAAACCTTGTCATTACTCTGTTCATGTACCTCTCTGGGATATGGAGGTTCAGGAAAGAGCTCGCCGCATCTATAAATGATATCATCTTCATGATGCTGCAGTTTACTAAATGACCAATTCCCCACAGTAAATGGCAAGCCATAGTGAAACAGGATTGGCTCGACACCGGGGCGTGGAATATATCCAGGATAGATCATCAAGTCGTCATTGATCTTATGCCGAAGTCCAACCTATAAACGCAGGGGGGGGGGGGGGGGGACAAAATGATACGACATAAGAATTGAAGGCCCGATGCAAAAGGAAAATAAGACAGCAACTCATCCAACTTACTTCAGCAGCACCAAATGAGTAGCCATACATCTCACTTATCCATCCTTTCCCATAGATATCACCGGTAATATTCGTGCTCCAGTGAGCCTTATCTTCACGCACTTCTTCTGTCTTAGCAAGCCACTTTGGTGCTAATGCACGAAGATCATCTATGTGCATAGCTAAAAGCCCACCAACCTTGTCGCAGAGTTCAGGATGCTTTGTGTGGATTTTGGCCAGTATATTGTCACATCCAACCAAGTATCTGGAATAGTAAAGTTTATTGTAAGACCTCTATTCAACCTGATGCCAAAAGGATGATAAAGGAAAGACCTGATTGATCTTGCAACTAGAATTGCTGGCAAAGGTAGTGACTCAGACCATATAACTCTGAACTTGAACAAAAGAACATAATGCATATGCTGAAGACAGAAGAACGCCATTCTTGTTTCGCCATTACTATTACCACGTTACCATCCATACACGAAAATTATCGATCAAGCAAGCCTTTCAAGTCAACGAAGTGTTCCATTGCAGCCAGATAGATTGCACTCATCATCATCATCATCATCAAGCAGTACCCAAACTGGTACTCCTAAACCAAAATCTTCTTAAACTTGTTCAAGGTTAAGTGTGAAAGTACCCATAATATGCAGACACTGGCCTTCCTCTCTCAGCACCGAGCTCTGTGGGTATAATCGGCCCTCGAATGATCATGTCTGCATCTAAAATCACCACCCAATCCACATGCTTAGCTTCCTCGCTGTGGTTAAGCCAATGTACAACTCCAGCAGGTTTGTTAATTGCTGGGTACCTATATACCACAAAAGTACAAACAAATGACACAAAAACTCATCATTACTAATTTCCTAGCAAGGCAAACTTCACATTACTGATTTCCCAGTAAAAGTTTACATCTTTATGGCAAGCAAATTGATTCACTAAGGACAGATTATACACTAAGTGATGAACTTTTTTGCTCACCAGTCACCAGTTTTGGGGTGTCGACTCATGGAAGGGACTTGGAAAGTGGGCGCCAAATGCATCCCTCTGTAACTCTTCTTCTCCTCATCAGTGCAGCTCAGGAGTCGGGTTATGGGTCCTGGTTGCCGGGCCTTGCTGAAACTGTGCATTAGCCCCACCGTCTGCCAATCAAAATAGTTTTGGCACTCGACGGAGAACAAAGTGTGGATCCTGTACCCCGGTTTCCCCACCGGCGACCCGCCTTCGACGACGGCGATAACGAGCAACAAACCCATCAGGGCAAATGTGATCAGGGAGGCGACTTTAGCCATTGAAGCTCGAATTCAAGCCCTGAATCGAAGTGGATGTGATCTAAATTTCATTGACTAGGGAGAAAGGTTGGAGTAAGTCAAAGGGAAACATTTGAGAATTGTTATTTCTGAGAGCAGGCGGTAGTGGAAAAGGGAAATAAATGGTTGGACAGTGGCGAGGAAGTGGCATCTACAATCTACAAAAGATATAATAGCAAAACATGCTTTAGATTTTCAGGGATTCAAATTTCCAGCCACCAGAGGATTTTCCGGAAGGGTATATTTGTCATTTCATCCCTGTTAATTGAAACCCTGCGTTTTAGCGCAGATCCTCTCGCTGGACAGCTCAAATCGCAATTGGGCCAAATAAAAGAGGCCCAAAGCAAGTCGGCCCACCTACGGCCCCAAACACATGTTAGAGTCTCCGCATGTCAGGTACACCCTTACAAGTATGAAACCCTGCATTTTGGCTCAGACATTTATTTCCCTCACGCCAGCAGTTTTACTTCTTGAATTGAAGCCCAACAGGTAGTCTTCCGCCGGCGGACATGAACCAATCGCACCAATTCCCTGCCATTATATTGATGAAAATGCAGTGGGTAGAGGTAATATTCCTCCGGACAGATGTAGATAATTGTCCTTCAATAGGTTTTGATCAATGCGTGCAAGATGAGACCTTTTAAACTACAAGACTAATCAAGAGGAGCAAACACAATGAGACTCAACATCCTGAATCTAAAATTTGAGACATCTTCTTACTAATTCCAAACTGAAAT